TCTCTCTCTCTCTCTCTCTCTCTCTCTCTCTCTCTCTCTCTTTTCCTGTATCGGCGCAATTAAATCACCGCCGAACGATTCGGCAGACGGCTAAATAGGATTGTGAAAAGTAATCAGCCACGGGTATCAGAGTGCGTTGATCACTTCTGCATCTGTTCGAAGGGAGAACGCTTTCTGAAAAATTTATTTCGAGCTTGATGTCTCGGTGGAACGAGTAGACGATGAAAAGCCAATAAGCGACACAATAATTTTCTAATAGTGCAAAATTAATGGCTATTGTTCAATCATAAAACAAGCCGATATTTATCACTGTGGGATTATTAAACAGTGACAATAATTTATTCAATTAATGAGTGAAAGATATGCAGTGCAATGCAAAGATTTGCGAATAATTATCTCAATAACGCTATCATATACTGCACCATAAAGAAAACGGTGAAGATGATCGTTCGAGCTTGCTGGTTTAATTTCGGAGAAAACGGGTAGAATTTCTCGTTCACTGGTCATGCGTTCAGCTTGCTGTTGTCGTTCACATTAAATAACGAAATATCATTGATTTTACGTGAGACTATAAAAAAAAGCAAATTGTATAAGCGTACTTGTTATCGATTACTACATGAAAAATGCATGATGCAACCTTGACAACAATCATATCGAATGACACTCCTCCCACGTGTTTTGCTCAATACAAACGAAATATCCCGTCCGTGTTCGCGAACAGTAAACAATACTTTATCGAACAATTAGGCTGCACGTGTACGACCCTTGGACGTAAAGTGTGGCGTCGGTCCCGATGTCACACCGATGCTTATCAAGTCTACAGTTCCATCTTAGCCTCATTTGACAACCCTTTTGCAATCTTTATTTTTAATACGACGCCAATTGTGGCAATAAGCGGCGTATGTGTGGCGTGTGGGGACTATGCGCGCGAATTCCTCAAGATGAAAATGTAGTACGCATACGAAATATCGCAGTTGCCTGCGTTAACGACGCGTCAGATACCTTGCCTCGTTAATTGAGCGACTGCTCCATTAAATAGTGGAATTACGGTCATTGGACTGAGACACGCGCGTCTGACGAGTGAATTTATTCATTATTCCACATACGTGATTACAAATTGGATTGGGAAGATTTGCGCTCTGGAGTCGGTCTCCCAATCGAGTTAGGATGATAAAGTAGTTCTCGCTAATAGGTAAACGACCAACTACTTAATATACGGCAATCACTTAGAGAGAAGAACGTTCAATTTAGGAGAAGAAATGAAATCTTTATTTTGCAACAACTTACGACGTGATAAAGGTTCATAAGAAATACCCACACTTGTCTTTGAACGTTTTAATAATTTTACACAAGAATTTGATATAAACGAAATACATTGTGTGTATGTGTGTGTTTTTTTCTTTTTAATACAAATACAATACAAATACAATACAACTTGTACAGTTTCACTTTGTAATGCCTTCGATATGAAAAGCTTGCGACATGTTGAGTCATGTAAGAGAAAAGTGCGTGTGTAAAAGAGAGAGAGAGAGAGAGACTCTTAATTCATTCTTTACTTACATTGTTCGATTATGGTCCCAATACTCTTGTATTCTTTCCAAGGACACGTCAAGAGCTGTGTTTCAAGGCAGCACAGAAGATCGTTGAATTTTTTTAACGACGGAGAAATTTTTTTATTCGCTGCGAAATAAATGCGAATTTTACGGTTTTTGCGCTCTTACTTGCTTCTCGTATATTAAAGCTCTTCATATATTGAAAAGTAATGTACATTTAATGTATATTTCTGTGAAAATGAAAGATCAAGTGAAAATGAAAAGATGAATGCTTAACACTAGTAATCACTAGTAATATCGATTAACGGCCTCACACAATACGAAACGAACGAAAGCAGCTCACAATTGTAGTAACAACAAATACCTCCTCATTCGTGCCCAATAGTTTATTTTGCAAAATAAGTTGACATATACAATGGGATGGCTTAGTTGCTCGTAGAAATGAATATCTGTAAGAAAAATCTCTCCGCATGTCGCGTTAACGTTACATTCAATGAACACAACGACTAGACATTACTTTCGATTTGTCAATTATCTCGGAAAAATAAAAATAATAGGATTAGCATGTTAAAAATTGCAGATTTCGACGTAGCTTGCACTTTATAAAACATTAGAACAGCCTCCGCGACGTTTACGCTCTCATCGCTCTCGCTATATCTTCATCGATTTTTCTTACGCATTAAAGTCTTTGTACTAACCCTCTCACGTGCAATGCGGATGCTTGTAGATGCAACCTTTCATATTTTTATATCATCAAATAAAATATATTACATAAACTCCGAGAGGAAATTGTCACCAAGGATAATGCAAAATATTTCGATTATTTTTTTCCTGCGAAAAGGGAAAATATATACAATTATATTTGGAATTATCCAACGAGAAGAACTAAATTAATATAATAATAAGGAGATTATTATATAATTTGCGAATTAATGATCGATCAAGTTGCGCGTGAGAGGATTAATTGTTGTAATCATTTACGACGTACAACATAGAAGGACGGACGCGTGTCTTAGCGGGTCCAAATTTGTATTCATCACATAAGAAAAGTTCCTCGCGCGCTTGCTCGTGTCAGGTATCATCTCTTATCATCTTATCACCTTCCAACTTTTAACTCTTGAATAGCTTATAGAGATCTTTACGCGGTTGAACGTCGTCCAGTACTTTCACATGAGCAGATCATACTGTCCTCCGTTGCAAAACGAATTGTGTATACACATTGCGTAAAATGGAATTGTCGAACGCTAACAAAGGTCAGTTTTATTGAATTATCTTATATTAATAGGCGAGACAATTCTGAGGCAAAGGAAAATTATAAAGTTACAAAGCTTCCATACATTATTGCTGTCTCCATCGATTGACAACAAATGAGCATAAACTGCTGGCGCATTAAAAAGCAATGAATGTGGAATATTATATAGAATATAACATTTTCTAGGTGTGTGTGTAAAATTCAAAACTATGCTATATTAAGAGGAATATACGTTTTTAAAATTTATATAAACAAACAATCTTACGACGCCGTTCCGATTGTTCCACTCTTTTAAAGAATACGGCAAATTCGTAATGTTCTTAAACGTTCAACAATAATAACGTATATTAATAACGTATAATCTTATATTATGGAAATTGAGTGTAACTCCCGTAACATTCTCCTTCTCCCGTTTCAATCTTGCGTTATGGACTTGGGCGACTTCTACTTTCGCGTTTCTAATAGTTGGCTCGTGTATCTAAATCTATGATAATCTTCTAAATCACTCTATCGACAATTACTTTATATCGCAATAGAGACTTCTAAGTATTTCGAGAAAAACAAAAAGATTTCTCTTCAACGCTGCATAGTAATCGCGCGCTGATCACGCTCGAAGACTTGGCTTTGATGTGTCTTTACCAGATACGACGGTGATACTTCACATGCCACTCTTGAAATCGACACTTGAAAACAACTATTTCCTAATAAAAAAAGAAAGGAGTCTTTCACTTGGATACTCGCTAAAAACTCTCGCGTCGATAAGACATTTTTATCAATTTAATAGCGCTATTCAAGCCAAGTATTTCGCACGTGATCGTCCGAGTTCTGTCGCCTCGAAAGGATGATCAAATACTGGTTATGAACGAAATTTTCACGTTTTGCCCCGTTATTTGAATTATACTCCATGTTGCAAAATTGTATAAGCCTTAATTGATGCATATTAATACAATCTTGAATGATGTCAATTGAAACAAATTGGATACGTGGAGAATAACTATAGCAGCAGTAATAACGACGGTATTAGTGAAAATTGGAAAAGTACGTGACGCAAAGAATTCTGGCTATGCATACGGGTTAAGGGCATTCAATTTTTCTCAATGTCCCGCCGTAGTCAAGTATTACGGCGAGGTATTACAAAGCCAACATCCGATAACGTTTGTAATATATTCAACGTAAGCGTATAAAATCTGAAATATTAGTAACATAGTGTTTCTGTCGAAACGTAGTTATTCATAGGTAAATGCTCGTCGGCTCGCGAGACGCGTCTCGAGGGACGTCTTAAGAAACTATTTTGGCACTAGAATCCACATAATCGTTAGGTTAGGTTTTAAGCGTCGATTCGACATCCTCAAACGTCTATGAAGCTAATAAAAAATTGTTCACATTATGTGCGAGCGTACGTGTATGTATGTGTGTTTGTATGTACGTGCTTTTATATTCTTACGTGTGTGTGTGTGTGTGTGTGTGTGTGTGTGTGTGTGAACGTTGTAATGTATACTGACTTGTTTACTAGATGTGAATGCTTAGAAATATAACGTCTTACGTAGTACTAAAGAACTTACGATTATACTACAATGTGTAATATCGTTACGATATAGCGATGCCTAATCAATCAAGTTTGAATCGGAAGTATCAGTAAATTCGTAGCAACTGCCAACTCAAAACTGACCGATATGAAATGTTTACAGTACATACAATAGATCCATTTACAAAATGCGTTACGCGACACGCTACGTATGATCGGATATACGCTTTTATCCGCCAAATTTCTCGATTTGGCATGTACAAATTTTTTGGTTCAATCCAAAGCAAATTTTATTTGTCTTTTAATTTAACGACTTTCTAAAAATCGTCAAAATGATTTGCGAACCAAGTGTTTGACAATTGTCGAAAAGTGTCGACGTACGTAAAATAACAAACGTACGTGAGATACAACTACACGTTCTGAAATAGATGGAAAATAGAAAATTAGACGAGTCCTCCGCAGTGTGTCGTATATTGAAAAATCTTCTTAATATCTACCTTTTGAAATATATGTCACTATCGCGAGTCAAGCGGTACCTTTACCACTATGTGAAACGGTGCAAAAAGATACAGAACTGCAATGCTTTTTTGATTACATCGTGATTGTTCCACCGTTACGTTAACGCTGGCCATCATCACTGCTTTGTCTCGGTTATGAAAGATACCTCCTCGATACGAATCAAACGGTCCATATCAAAGTCAGGCTTCGCGAAATTATCGTCTCTGAGGGTTTAGAATATAACTCTACGAGTTATAACAAGAAAGCACTGTCGTACACGGCTCTGTCGGACTGCGTGTCGATTACTCTCCCCGTTGCGTTCTCGTCAAGAACGTGTCAATGCGAACCGTCACGCAAAGATACCGAGTAGAGTGTACCGTCAAATCGAATCTCTTGGTGACTATTGCATCTCCTGCTTGTGACGATTAAATCGGACGATTAAATCGTTCAAACGCTGAGTCGTTACGTCCATCTCGTCGTACGAGACTCGTTCCAAATGATTCGAACCTACGAAATATACGTCCACGATCTTTGTCGCCTCGTCTTCTACGCGATTAAATAGCCATGGCCGAGCATCACCGGGGTACGTTTCCGTGTTACATTACACGCATATATATGTATGTATATATAATTATATATATATGTGTGTGTTTATTCGCTATACCAAATAACATAATTCCTACGAGTGTAAAGCACCAACCATATTCGCTGCGTTTCTTCAATCCCTGACTAGTATCTTTCGTTGCAGTTTCTGTCGAGAACATTGCGTCCCGATTCGAACGACGACGAGGGATATCCCTTCACCGGCGCACGCATTAACTTTCCTTCTCCTCGATAGGACTCACCTCGTTTTGCAGCAGTTCGAATTTCGGACTCAGACTCGGGAGTATACTCCTGGTGCTCGTTTTGATTTGACTATATTTGTTGTAGATATCCAAAGACTTTTTACGATCCATCTCGAGTGTCTCCTCGATCAATCGTGGCGGAATGCTGCTGGTTCGCTTGTGACTCGGCACGAAAACGCTGCCTTCCGGCTTGTGATCCGTCGTCGTTCTGTCCTGCTTGTGTTCCGGCGTCAGCGTGCCGTTACCCAGTTTCCGCTGTTGCTCCTGAAACGCGTCCTCTTGGACGTCGTCTTTCAGCAGCGCGCCGGTTATCACAGGTTTATTACTCTCCGATTTGGTGGCGAAGTCGTTGCTCAGGGCCTTTTGCTCCATGATCTCCAACTTGTTGGGCGTTGTGCCGTTCACCTGGAGATTCGGGTTCGATCGCACGGTGTCTGGGAAATTGTTGATTTCCAGCGAGTCTTCCCGTATCACTGCGCTCACGACATCTTGCAGGGATGACACGTTTTTGGATTTTCCAAAAAATTGTGGCTGAAAAACGGACGAACGATCTTTCTGTTACGAGAGCTTTTCGCGATCAATGATATATTTATACATTATTGCGATGTGACCACGAAATGACAAGGCAAATTTCATCATCCTTCGCATCAACTCCGTGGATATATATATATATATATATATATGCAACGATGAATTTATTATTTCTTCATCTGCATACCAAGATTGTGACAAGACGATTCGACAAACAAATTGATGAGACAACTGGTTTCTCTCTATCCACTTACATTTTTATCCTCGTCCTCTTCACTGGTCAAGTTTCTGGAATCGTCCAACAGCGTCTTCTCTATATCCGGGGACTTGTCAAATTCCACCCACTTGGATCGTCCTTCCAGCTTTCTCGACAGCACATCCGACTCGTAACTGCCGCCGTACATAGGATAACCGAGATGGCCAGAGTCGTATTCGACCTGATTGCCATAGCGGTAACTTGGGTTGGCCGAGCCTTGACTAGATATCGACAGATCCGACTGTGACAAGCCGGTATTGGTGCTTCCGAACAATCGAGTATTTTCGAAGCCTGAAACGACAATATGGAAAATAGATTTTCAAGTGACATATCGTACAGAGGGACGTTTACCTGAGGATCTATCGTCTGGTATTTCCTCCCTGTGTACCAAAGCCTGTTGATCGGTAATTCCAGCGGTCATGTCGTCGGAGGACCCTTTGTTACCTTCCATTTCTTCCCTGTCGTAATCAGGCTGTACCTCTACCACAAATGAGCATCCGCTGTCTTTATATCTCGCCGTGGGTTTGTTATCTTCCATCGTCACCTGAAAAAGAGTGATCAAATTGCTACGAAAACAGTCGCACAAATTAGGAGTACGATTTCTTCGAATGACAATTGTTTAAGTGTAACATGTTTCGCGTAATCCACGTTTTCCAATGAATTCGAGCTTCCTCGTACGGTCAGACGTTCCGATTCTCTCACGTGAATTCACGAGACGTGTCTACCGGGCTCGTTTCTTTTTGGTGGGGCCTGAGTTACGGACCCGGAGTCGGCTCTCCACGCCTTTTCCTTGTTCAATAGTTGGGGCACTTTGTACACGTACGTGCGAGGAGAATGGATCGAATGGTGGCGCGAGTAGAGCATTTAGAGGGATCGGGACGGAAAACAAAGTGGTGCGAAACATGAAGAGAAAGAGAGAGAAAGAGGAAACGTAGGTGTAGACAGTGGCAAGTGGCTCGAAAGATTTTGAGAATCTCTGATGAACGGACTTCCACGAATAAGACGAGGCTGTAAGTAGGACGATAGGTGGGGATGAAATTGCTCGGTAACCTTCGACCTTACAGGGTCGGTCAAGTTCAATAATTATGAATCTGCTTCTCTTCTCGGCAACTAACTAAAGAATTTTACTACGGCGCTTTTTACACAAAAAAAAATATAATCTCATCTTTAGCGGGATCCTCTTATACACACGAGGATTCTTCTACAATCAATAGAAAAATATTTTGAGCACAATATTAACTTTTCTTCATTAGAAGAGAAATATTTGTTCGGTTTTCGCTTAGAATATAGAATTGCAAAAAATAACAATTTGCAATTAGTTTCTTTTTTGGATATTAGAATGTTTTCCTTTTCTTTTCAAAAGAATTCTCTTGAGACCATGTACAAAAGGATTTCTCTAAGAATTATATATTTTTTTTAATACAACAATTTCACTGTTTAGAGTAAATAATAATTGTCATCTATGTTGAGAAGAATGTTGTATTCGGTTACGATATCATTGCGTTAGGATTCACTCACGTACTTACCGCACGTTCCTCCGTTTCCACGATAAGGTGATTATTTTTCAGTGTAAGAGTGATGATATTTCCATTCGCATTCTTGCTGGTGTGATTACCAGAAGTGGTGTACTCCACCATGGCCGCAGGGGCAACATTTACGTTCTCCATCACCTCCGTTTCACACATATATCGGGGTACATCTAGGCCATTCACCAGCTGAAATTAAATACAAATATAATTGTACGATAAAGAAGTTACGTAACACATTATATTTGTCATCCAAATATTTCATTCGTCATTCTCGTTGCTGTACGTGCACACAGAAGACTCGACTCGACGATACATGAAATCCTAAATATAAATCAGTAAGAAGGAACATTTTTCTTTATGCTTTCACGGATTAACGTTAATTCGCGAAGAAAAGATGAATTTTTTTCATAACAAACCGATTTACATCGAACATTTCCCGTGTGAGAATAATTTGATCACCTCAACCACGAATCGATATTTGTTTGTAACAGAACTTGGTGGTGCGGAACGCAGCAGCGACGGTGCGATTTGCGCAGGGACGGGATATGGAGGATTTAGTTACAGTCGGTGGGCGCGAGGCTGCCCTAATTTACGAATGTACGAAGAAGATGGAGCGTCCTGTATAGTTTTTTATCTATCATGTCGCGAAAAGTTATCTCGCGTGCAAGTAGGTGTTCGCGTGTACATTCACCTATACGCACGCAGATGCACGCCGGTTACGTCGTTCTCCGAGCGCCTTGTGCCAAAGGGTACTGAACCTGACCCAAGGGGCATTGCTCTTGCGCTGCGTCTCTCCGTTCCTTTTCTGTTAGATCGCTACACACACCGGTCGTCACGTTAGCCAAAGCGCGCAGGTATCATTGCGGGGCTTGACTCGGTACTCGCGAATAGCAGTCGAAAACACGAACCGAAATACGAGCCGTAAGACGCGAAGCGCGCGATTATTTAACAGCGACAAGTGCTCAATCTGGAGCTGGCGCTCAATGAAGGTGCGCATTTGCAATATTTTCTGCGCTCAGCAAATGCAATCGTATTCACTAAATTACAAAAGTGTCACCTGCGCGCACGTAAATCACACATAACATATTAGTTTGAGGCACACATGTACTTTGAGAGGCAAATTTTCTCTTTTCTGAAAAAATTTGATGAGATAATTTAATATGCAATCTCCAGTCTCGGAAATTCATGGAAATCTTGATACGCTTTCATCAACTTCTCTCTCTTCTCTCTTCCGAACTCCTTTTATATTAATCTGCTTTTATATTTATTTTAAGATCTACGGCACTTGTGTCCACTCCTCGCGGGAAAGAGAAAATATATCTCGTAGACGCGTTCCGATTTAGAACTACTCAGCCTTTCACCTCTGTCACGCGGATATCGCGTCCAATCAAACGTCATAGTACAAGATAATCTCGTGGAATCTGAATATTCGTAAAGAAGCACGAGAAAAGCTTTTGTGTTTGTTCGTTTCTTATGGTTATGGAAAAATAAGATTGGTTTGTAAAAGTCGTTCAAACTATGTTACCCAAACGTGAATCGATATCGTATAAACTAAAGACGACTCTGCGATTTGTTCGCGTGTAAAAAAGTGTTCTCGTTACACAGAAATAAAGTCATCTTATATGATACGAATATAATAGTTTTTTTCATTAGCATTACACAATGACGCATAATATCGATAGATGAGCACTCGATTATTAATAAATGGAGCAAATATTGGATAAAGATTGGAGATAAAGATTACGCGATAGAGAGAAACTCGTGTTGTAATATCCAAAAATATTCTTCACGGCTTATATTAAAATTGGCAGATCGGCAAGCCGGTTGTATTATAGGTTTAGAGTGAATCTATCGCGCTTAGAGTAGCGTTTTCTATACGATTACGTTTCGTGAGTTGGCAGTCACGTCGTTGCTTCTACTAGACGTCCAAGTACTAAACACTCAAGGACATTCACCGCTTTGTCTCTGATCTTTTTGGCTAACACCGTTAGAGGTTGCAGACGGTCATGGAAGACGAATGAAGGATATTTATAGGCGGACGTTCTAGTAGTAATTATGGCAATCGGACAAATACACAAGTCGTTCATGGTCAACAGGTATATCTGCTAATTGTTGGGATAGTAACGCTCTTTTAATTATCCTGTCTCTTTCGTAATTCAATTAACAATTGACTTTGTGGTGGGGTACTGATGTTACCAGAATTCTGTTCAAGTTAACAAGATTTCTGGTCAACAGTTACAAATTCTGGTTAACCAGAAACCTTATTAACAGAATTCTGGTAGCTTTAGCCAGAATTTCTGATTCGTTCGTACTTCATCAAACATTTGCTTATAATCCAATCAAACTTTTTTTTCCGTGTAATTCGTTGAGTTATAAAACACAGTGCAACGAATCCTGCTGGCGTGTATGATACAGCCGCTTGTTTGATCTGAAACTAAAAAGCAACCAAGATTATTATTTTATACAAGCGTGGCTATCGTCTGAACTAGGACTATTGGACTAAAGCAACATTTGACAAAATGGCAGCATCAAAAAGTAAATTGTGAAGTCGCAATTTGTTTCTTGATGCCATTATTCCGTCAAATTTCGGTTTAGTCCAATAATTTTAGTTCAAACGATTCTAGTCATACCTATATAAAAGAAAGATCTTGTTCATTTGTTTTTTTTTTTGTTTCAAATCACTACAAGCGGCTATCATGCATGCCAGCGGAACACGAGCGTGTTGCGCCACGCCATATAACTCAAACAATATACGAGTTTTATTTATGAAAAAAATCATCTTACTCCTCAACGCATAATAACAACATACTAAAAAGTTCATAAACATACGTAATCTCTTTGCAAAAAAATTCCAAAGAAACTTTCTTAAATCTCGCCTACAAATTCTACCTAGAGTCCTCAACCATTGTATTCTTTTGTATATTTTCAAGAATAGCAATACGATAAGCACGACACATTTATAAATTAAGATGTTTAGAGACAGGTTGAAATAAAAATATTTAACTATGAAAAATTACAAATTTTTGAAAAGTTTTGTACTCAAATCTGAAGCAAAGATAAACGCTCGCTTACATTCCTTCATGCTGTTTGCATGAAGGAATGTCTCTTACTTTCTGAATTTTTTTTTTATTCTATTTGTTCGATGCAAAATGATGATGAAAAGAGAAAGGAGAAATAGTTGAAATAGAGCGTAGGAGGTTAGAGTTTGTGCGTTTGTTGAGATGCCAAAAGTAGCGTGAATATTCGATTCGTGACGCATATTTTAACGATACCGTTAGAGGTCCCAGACGGTCAAAATGATTCCGGTCTTTCTATACCACAATAGAGACTCTGACTATACAAACAGGTAATCATGGACGAGATAGACGCGGCCTTGAGTTATTTCGTCATCGTAAAGTCTGTTGAATTACATCACGATACATCTAAATCAGGAAACAAAGATGCATTTCTCGATCGTCCAATTGAAATATGATATGCATCAGCTAAAAGAAAAAAGAAAAGAATTTTTGGACCAATTAAACTCGCACGATATAAATAGCGCATTATAACCTGCAGACAATGGTGAAAATGCATAAAATAAATAAACTTTCGAGATATAATTTAATTGCAGGACATTCTTTAACGAATTCGCTGCCAATCCGTTTTCGTAGAATGGGAGGTTGTCATTTGTCGCCATTGATTGACTTATCGGTATTATATTGGATGTTGGCGTGCCAAGCTTTGTAGAGTAGTCTATAATATCGACTTTGATACCGTTAAATTACACTTACATTTATGACCAGTAGAAGCTAAATGTGAGAGGTTAATCAACGACCATATGCAGTATTTCACGGATATCGTCGTCGAGGTCAGGCTCTAATGCGTCATTCGAAATTGATTGCGAATGTTTGATGCATCAAAGGAAGAGGAATGACAATCTCGTCTTGGAGGATTCAAGGTTCTCAGATGCGATTTGCACATATCGAATCACTTCCGCGTGTTGCCGGCACTGCTAATATAATTAATACGTCAAGTAATTTTCATAATATCTAGAAATCCTAATAATTCGTAGATGTAAAATTTTGTCAGTTGAGATGTTTGAAGTTACTCCTAAATTTCAAACAAAACCGATTGCAAACGAGACACATAAAAATAAGTATCATATTGCGAGACCTTGTTTTTGTGGAATTTTTTGAGTTTTCTTACGTCGAGTCGTCAGTTGGAAAGAAGTGACGACGAACGTGTCGCGAAGAGAAGAAATCATTGAACAAAACAGCCATCGGCTTTGCTAACAGCGTTTATTATATTTCGAAGTGACCACATCCGTGTTTCTTTTCCTCTTGGCGCTTACATTATTAATGTCAGTCACTTTGGGCGCTCATGCAACATTTATGACCGACGGCCGTTCCAGAAAAGACAGTCACGGAAGATACGGATTGGCTATTCGAATTTGTTTGACCTTTATGATAAAAACCACGTCAGATAAAAAGTAGTGGCAACTTCGACGAACGGTACAAGCGGCTTCTGGTCTCGTCCGTCTATTTTCATGGCGAGAGAACACGTCGATCGCGATTTTAATGTCCAAATTTCGTTCACCATAGTCAAGAGGTTTTGGTCGTAAGAGGCAAAATTTGACCAAATTCGCTTGAATATTTTACAAATGCGCCGTAACGGAATTCTATCATAGCTTGTAAAAATAAACTTACAATTGTAAAAAAAAACACAATTCTTTCATTAAAGTTTCAATAAGAGGTGTTGTTGGAAACATTGCGTTTCTTCTCTTCGATCGCTACTTCTGAAAAATCAAGTTCTAGCAATGATGATTCTTTTTTATCCTTCTTTTTTTTATTTCCTAACAGATATGAGCCGCGAATAAAGCTGCAGTTTCGGAGTCATGCTCGCACGACGACGGTCAGCGAAATGATATTGACATAGTGCTGGCAAATGAACAGAGACCTCCTTGTGGTTCTCGTAGTCGAGATAAGCTAATCTCTATCATAGTCTGGTACGCCTCGCGAACGCGTATAGCAAACAACGGGTCTTATCACTTTATACCGAGTACGTCATTCGATAACTGCGCTTCGTTATGTTCCGTGCTAAAAACCTAAATCTGCAACTATGTCGCGATGGAGGATCCCGAAATCTCTGACTTAATAATTCAGCGAATTTGGAGGTATTCGAGCTGTTGACGCAATGTATTTCGCGAA